AGGACTTCACAGAAATATTTTTTTTATAGCATTTTTAGATGGTTCAGACCTGTCGCCATCATCATTAATGTTTGTGTCTGGTCCTGGTGTGAATATTACAGTGTGACCCAACTTTAATATACGACTGTTCGGACAAAACAAGTCTGTTCAGTTTGTTTACCACCAATGATTTATGAAACAGAGCAGATACAGGGCTTCAGCACAAACCTCTCATACTCTGCATGGATATCATTGTTTGACACTAGTTTTTTATAAAACACAGAACATTTTCTTAATGATTTAAACACTGATACATCCTGCAGATGTTTAAACTGTATTTACAAACATTATTATGTAATCCGAGGAATGTTCTCACTTTCAAAAACCTGTACTTATGCATAAATATATCTGCATATTTTATTCCTTTAGCCTTTGAAATTTTATCTGTGTTTTGTTTGGTTTTCAAACTGGTTTTGTCAATCCTTTTGTTAAAATATCAGAAAGCTTTAAATATTTCATCATTGCATAAAAGGCAATATTTTCATTAATATGCATTGTTCCGCCTTTTGTTACCAACATAAAAAACAATTGTGAAGACCATGGACAGAGGACATTGAGAGGAAGAGGAGGAGCAGGCGTCACATCTGCCATCTCCTGCAGCAGCATTACTGCTGACCTGTTGCTATGTCTGGCTGCCTGCTGCGCCTCCTGTGCACTGTAATCTGGGGCCCTCTGTAATCGTGTTTGATCAGTAGCTTTTTGTTTCCACTCTACTCTCTGCTCCAGGACCTGTGCCCGTCTCCAGACCTTTCCTGCCTGCTGCCAGCTGATAAGACCAGCCTCTAATCCAACAAGAAAACAGTGCACGCCTTCTGCTCTGCTGTGCGCTCCTCAGCATCAGGCATATTAACTCTGACTTTTACACTTTCCCATATTACGTTCAACACATACTTGAACTATAGGACTGAGACTGCAGATCCAGGACTGAGGCTAGATCCAGGACTGAGGCTGTAGGTCCAGGACTGAGGCTGTAGATCCAGGACTGAGGCTGTAGATCCAGGACTGAGGCTAGATCCAGGACTGAGACTGTAGATCCAGGACTGAGGCTATAGATCCAGGACTGAGGCTGTAGATCCAGGACTGAGGCTAGATCCAGGACTGAGACTGTAGATCCAGGACTGAGGCTGTAGATCCTGGACTCAAGCTGTAAATCTAGGACTTAAGCTGTAGATCCAGGACTGAGGCTGTAGATCCAGGACTGAGGTTGTAGATCCAGGACTGAGGCTGTAGGTCCAGGACTGAGGCTATAGATCCAGGACTGAGGCTAGATCCAGGACTGAGGCTGTAGATCCTGGACTCAAGCTGTAAATCTAGAAATTAAGCTGTGGATCTAGGACTAAGGCTGTAGATCCAGGAGTGAAGCTTTAGATTCAGGACTCAGGCTGTAGAATAAGGACTGAGGCTGCTGGGGTGCAGCCCACGAGTCCGGGCCGGGGAAACCAGTTCACAGGTGAAGATAAAAGAGGCATACGACATAAAACAGACAATGGAACAGCGGGTGAATAGCAATGAACGGACGACAGCCGCAGTCATAATGAGGACAGATTCCTTGGTAAAGTGATATCTGGTCAGAGGGTAAGACTCCCAGGACGTTGAAAAAGAGGTTTCCTAATCTCAATGGGAATTCCTGGTTAAATAAACAGTCCTGATGTTGTGTGTTGATGCATTAAACTTGTCAATCTTGCATTTAGTCATTCAAGTGCTTATGAGCGAACCCGGTGGAAGCACTTTAGACGTGTGTTCAAAAGGCTGGGTAGTGAGATGAAGGCGTCTCTGTATCACATTCTTTATCCATCCCTATATGATGTTTAACTCTGTAACTTTAACAAATCTTAAGCTCTACATAAGATCCATAATGCAGCAATTACTTTACGATCAGATACGAGGAGCATATGACAGAGCGGGAAACATGATTACGTTTTTAATCAATGAAGGACAATGCACCGGCGTTTCTTTATCTGATTACTTCAGAAGCTGCTCTGGGGCTGGAGGCTAAACACATACGACATTATCAGGCTGGGATTACAGAAGACTGACTGTATGCTCTCCCCAAAGTGTTATAGACCCTTTAACATCATTCATTCTTCTATATCAGGTAAAACTATGACCCATATATTCTTTAAAATGAAAAGTTTAGATCAGAATCGGAGCAAAGGGAGCTCTGTTTGTGTCTGTGCTGTCTCTGCTGAGATCAAAGCTGTGACTTGCTTTGAGAACAGACTTCACGATGATGAATATTATTTTCTCATTATTCAAACCTTTTCGTTGTTAAAAAACAGTTGAGCTTTCTTTAAAATCCTTTGATGTTTGATAACAAATGTGCAAAGGTTACAGTGCAGTACATAAAAGCCGGAGAACCTACTTCCACAAGTTACATTCATCCCAAAACAGAAATAGAAATGTATGTGTATTGTATTTATCTGTTACACGTCAGATTTTAGACCCGCCTCCACTCAACCAATCAGCTCTCAGTATGTAACATGTTTCCTAAGATACAACGTAACACAATGTATTCATAAAACAAGACAAAAAGTGAATCCAGCTTTTAAAAAAACAACATTCAAATCAGAGCATAAGTGTCATGTAGACTCATTAAAAGAGTTAAAACAACCAATCTGTATAAATGGTTGTGTTTCCAACTAGTCCGCAGTGCCAACCAAGGAAAATTGGTCTTTTTGCGAATATGAGTGTGTGTTTGTGTGTGTGTATGTGTTTGTGTGCGTGTATGTGTTTGTGTGTGTATGTTTGTCTCTGTGTGTGTGTGTGTGTGTATGTGTTTGTGTGCGTGTATGTGTTTGTGTTGTGTATGTTTGTCTCTGTGTGTGTGTGTTGTGTGTGTGTGTGTGTGTGTGTGTGTGTCAATAGGTCTGTTAGGATCAGGAGTCAGTGAAGGTGGCGGTTCCATAGAAAAAATTACCAAAAACAATTCATTGGTTAATTTCTGACCAATATTTCCATCAATTAAACCAATAATAAGTTAAATCATTTTTACCAACCAATGTGTTGTAGGAAGTACATGGCTCTGAAACACATTTGAACCTGTTCCCCGACTGTAGGTTCAATCTGTGGAATGGAGCAGTTAAAATGTTGTGTGTAACAAATGTGTTGTTTCTTGGACACAGAAACGGTTCTGTTCAGATGGAAATGTTCTGCCCTTTCCAAGTAATTAATAAATCTTTGTCCTTTACGAAGTCTTTCCGACATATTCACAATGTCAGCAGGGTGGAGAGCCTTAAAGGTCACTGTGGGCACAGCAGGAGGGCTGGCCATCAAAACACTGTATACATAGACTACACACTACACAGAAATATACTTTATTTTTCACTTCATATTAACTGCAGATGTAATACGATGAGACCCTTTAGTCCCACAGAGGGGAAATGTCAGTGTTGCATCACTGCTTACAGAATTAGGAACACAGAATAAGATACGTGAATATAGCACAACTCTATCCTTGAAAAATAAATAACATAATTATATTAAGCTCATTAAACTTGTTATAGTGTAATAACATGTACAGTTGTTGTATGTAACAGTAATAAAGGGCCTTTATAAGAAGTGCAGTGGTTGACACACAGGTGAAGAAGGCAGTGCGTCAGCGGTGTCTCTGCAGAGACCTCAGCTCTGCCATAGCATGGAGGCTCATTAATAACTGAGCTGCTGTCTATCTGACACAGTGTCCAAGGCTTTAGATTCACAGGTGAACAGCAGGGAGCCCAGACCCTTATCAACAGTGATGTCACTTACTTACTAGCTATTAGCCTACATTAAAGAAATTAAGTAACACATTACTTTGAAACAACACGATAGAACTAATCTTCATGAAAAAAAAACAACAGCAACTAATGGGAATATGAATGTTCCTAAACTCATAGATTGACTTCTAAGATAGAAATAGACTTTTGATTATCAGAAAGAATCCTGTTCAGAAGTTTTGAAGCATCTTTCACACAATTTTGGCTCAAACATAGACAAAAAGTTTTAATTAATTGTAAGTTACTGCTGTGCTGCTGCCTGTGCATTAGAGATATTTCAGTTTTTAAGAAAGAGAGAAATCAAACATTCTGGGATGAACTGGGACCAGTTTGTTTATTTCCAGTGACATTAGCCTCAGCTGTGAAAAGTGGTCATTCTACAATCATCCTACTCTGACTCCAGCTACACCCTCAGTTATGTTGACCATGGAACATGTGGAGGCTGACTTAGAAAATAAGTCTTCAGAATGACTCCACTGAGTCGGTCCATTTGTATTTGTTCCAAAGGGTTCTCCGACAGATTTTCTTTTAAACAAGTGTATTTTTATAAGTAACTAAATTACTTCGTTACTTAAGTAACCAAGTAAGGTAATATAATTACATTCTAATTAGTCATGTTTAACTATTTTTATTTGTATATAACCCAACACTGTTTGCTACAGGCTTTAATATCAGTTTTGAAAATTCACAGAAATAGCTGCCCCCGAATTCATCAGATGACATCATTCCTCCTTATTCGTCCTTTTTGTGTTAAAATAGTCTTAAAAAGTTTATTACAACCTCTGTCTCATAGAATACCCTGAATAAAGGAGAAGGGAGCACAAACAAGGATCTTGAAGTACTATTTTTAACTATTAACTCAGATGCAGAAAAAAATACATATGAAATAGCCTTAACCAGGAAGTGAATGCGTATGTATAGTTCCTGATTGGTCGCACCGTATGAAAGGCGGGCTTTAGCCTCTGTAGTCTTTACTGATTGGTGGTCACTCTCACTACTTTCACAAACTGTGTTTCTATTGGTCAAAGCGGTGGAGCAGCATGTGATCTGATTGGTCCGCGGTGTTGGCGCGAGCGAAGTCTTGACCGTTTGTAATAATTCAAACAGTAGATCGCGCGGCTGCTGCAGAGTCTGTTCAGGGATCTTCATATACATTGTTTACTCACGGTTTCTTTAGTTAGGCAGGGCTGTCGTTACTTAAAAACCATGGCAGAGCCACTCAAGGTACGTGTCCTCTTGGTTTTCTAACTCATGTCGAGGGAAGTAAGTTCACTAAACTAGCGTCTCTACAAAAGCCTGCACAGGATCCTCACAGATCGGAGCAAATGTTTAGTATAACTCTGTTATTATGACTATACAGTTAGCTAACAGTTCAGCACAACATGCATTAAACAGATAACGTTAACTAATATGCCATTTACCAACTGTTCTGGCCTGTGCAGTCCTTGTATGAAAACAAGCCTGTGGAAAAGGCCAAGAAGGATCCGAAGCGGCTGTCGGTGGAGAGGATCTATCAGAAAAAAACTCAGCTGGAGCACATTCTGCTCAGACCAGACTCATACATTGGATCAGTGGAGCCAGTCACACAGGTACGACATATACTGTCTATGGGTCACACAGGTACAACATACAGTCTATGGGTCACACAGGTACAACATACAGTCTATGGGTCACACAGGTACAACATACAGTCTATGGGTCACACAGGTACAACATACAGTCTATGGGTCACACAGGTTCAACATACAGTCTATGGGTCACACAGGTACAACATACAGTCTATGGGTCACACAGGTACAACATACAGTCTATGGGTCACACAGGTACAACATACAGTCTATGGGTCACACAGGTACAACATACAGTCTATGGGTCACACAGGTACAACATACAGTCTATGGGTCACACAGGTACGACATATACTGTCTATGGGTCACACAGGTACAACATACAGTCTATGGGTCACACAGGTACAACATACAGTATGGGTCACACAGGTTCAACATGTACAGTCTATGAGTAACACAGGTAATAATCCCTCGGTCTCAAACACATGAAGTACCGCCGCAATATGTTTGCTTCTCTGTGCCGACAACAGAATATAAACTACATTCAATGCTAAAATGCAGAGAGCTTGGGTAGCACCAAAAAAATCCCCAATTTAAACCTATGGTACCACCGTTTGGGAAACTCTGAACTAGGGCTTTGGCAACTATTGGGATGATATAGCAATTATTGGATTATCATTAATCTGTTGTTGGGAACAGATTTTTTACCCCAGAATCAAACCGTTTAAGAACCATTTAAAGTTGTGGAAGTCAGAGCAGATTATTTGATCACTAAAATGTGGAATGTTTCTGTGATTCGTTCCTTCTCTACACTAAATATTGTCCATTACATAATAATGGAGCCCTGTATACTATGACTGTGCTCTCATCTGTCTGTTTTTTCAGCAAATGTGGGTTTACGATGAGGTTGTGGGGATGAACTGTCGTGATGTAACCTTTGTCCCTGGTCTTTACAAAATCTTTGATGAAATTCTGGGTAAGGATTTGCTTTTGGCTTTATATTAATGCCACAATACTGTAACTCGATTATTCATTATTTTACAGTAAATGCTGCCGACAACAAACAGCGGGATGCGAGCATGTCCTGTATCAAAGTCAACATTGATGTGTAAATATACAAAGTGTTTTCTGGTTTTATTTTGTCTAGTTATTAAAATAATGATGCCCAATATTTGTTTTTAGCGAGAACAACACCATTAGTGTGTGGAATAATGGAAAGGGGATTCCTGTGGTGGAGCACAAAGTGGAGAAAGTGTACGTCCCGGCTCTCATCTTTGGGCAGCTCCTCACCTCCAGCAACTACGACGATGAGCAGAAGAAAGTCACGGGTCAGCGGTTTTTCTTCATTTTCAATTTGATTTTGTCTCTGATCTCTGCTGTGCCCTAAATCCCAGCAGAGATCAGAGAATCAAATGGTTCGAACACAGGTGAAATAATGACAGATCAAGTAGAGAGGGAAGAGGATAGTGCTCAAGTTACAATACTTCTCCCTGCAAACTGCCTCCTTATACATTCTGACCGACTGATCAGTGTATTTATTTATTTTTGTATCTTTTGGTTGAATTTCTAAGTCCCACCGACCGAGCCAGGTGCTGAATAATACTTTTGAACTGACAATTGCAGTCATAAATGCAAACATCCTGTAATGTAGGTGGACGTAATGGTTATGGCGCCAAGCTCTGCAACATCTTTAGCACCAAGTTCACTGTGGAGACGGCCTGCAAGGAATCCGGAAAAGCTTTCAAGCAGGTGAGTGCGTTCGTGGTGAGTAACTATTCATTTCAAGCAGCAGTTTGAACTCATCTGAAACCTCTCTTCTCTTCAGACCTGGTACAACAACATGGGCAGAGCCGGGGAGGTCAGCCTCAAACCCTTCAGTGGAGAAGATCACACTTGCATCACCTTCAAACCAGATCTGCCCAAGTTCAAGATGAGCATCCTGGACAAGGACACCGTGGCTCTGATGACGCGCCGGGCCTATGACATCGCTGGTGCCACCAAAGGAGTCCGCGTGTTCCTCAACGGCACACGGCTGCCGGTGAGTTCCCATTTCTTTATTTTTCACAGTCATAATAATAATAATAATACACAGTACTTGTATAGCGCTTTTTTGGACACTCAAAGACGCTTAACAGAACAAATAAGAAACATGATAAAAAGCTATGATTATACAAGTGTAGGTTTTTGAGCAGTGATTTTAAGTTCTGAAGTGAGTTCGAGTCCCTGATAGGTTCTGGGAGTGATTTCCAGAGAGAGGGGGCAGCTGCAGCAAAGGCTCGGCCCCCCAATGTTTGGCACTTTGTTCTGATGGGAGTGAGGAGGTTGGAGTCTATGGATCTGAGGCGGCGGGTGGGACACCGAGGTATGAAGGAGCAGGTTATGGAGGGACTTAGGGATGAGGAGGAGGACCTTGTATAGCAGGCTGCATGGGAGAGGGAGTCAAAAGAGTTGTTTGAGGACGGGGGCGATGTGGTCTCTGTTCATACATCTCCGCTTTAAAACACTGTTAAAACTTACATTGTAATCCACACTAACTTTTTGTTTTTTTCACATAATATTAAATATTTACAGGATGCGAGGGATAAAATAAATTAAGATACACATTTGGCAGGTATAATAAAATATAATACAAGTCAAAGAAAATTTAACATGGGTAAAAGGGACGTGGATCAATTATTTTGGACCTCCACAAAATCTGGTTTTAGCGACTTCATGTATTTGACCATAATTTAATATAAGTTTGTTTGATTAAGACGCATAGAAAAGGTTATTGCTTCCATTGTATAAATCTGGCTTACACCAGTAGTATGAATGTAACAAATGCACTTTCTTCTCCTCCAGATCGTGAATTTCCGCAGCTATGTGGACATGTACGTGAAGGACAAAGTTGATGAGCTGGGGCAACCCTTGAAAGTAGTCCATGAGGCCGTCAATAGCCGTTGGGAGATCTGCCTCACCATGAGTGAAAAGGGTTTCCAACAAGTCAGCTTTGTCAATAGTATCGCTACAACCAAGGTAATTTATGAACTCCTGCTGCCTTTGCCTTTAAGTGGCGGCTGCTGCACTAAACACATGCATGGATTTTACACTACTCTTATTGGGCAATTATTTTATTCATGGGGGGAAACAGTGGGATATCGCCTTATTGTGGAGGGCCAGACCCAATTTAATTATAGACAATTTAACATTTTTTATTTCTTAATCAGAACAGAATAAATGCTTTATTATATTTGAATACACACCTTCTAGTATAGACTCCTGATTCATTAAAATAAGCAATAGACTGGTTAACAACGAGCCTATACGCGAATTCAGCTTGAATTGAGAAAAACACTGGGAAGTGTCCGGGGTCCGCATTTAAATATGGATCGGGCCGGATGTGGCTCCGGGGCTGCACGTTGCCCAGGTCTGTTAATAATAGATGGAATGAATGGCTTCTGCTTAGTGCACATGTTGCCGTCAGCCCCATAATGTTAGAAATATAATGGTATATTTTCTATCCAGGGTGGAAGACACACAGACTATATTGCAGACCAGGTCGTTTCAAAGCTCATCGATGTCGTGAAGAAGAAAAATAAAGCTGGGGTTATTGTCAAGCCTTTTCAGGTATTTTACGTTTGACCAATATTATGATATTTAACGTATATAACACTTCGAAATCCCAGTCTATATTCATTCTATATAATTGTTTTCTTTTTTCTTAGGTGAAGAACCACATCTGGCTGTTTGTAAACTGTCTTATCGAGAATCCAACCTTCGACTCTCAGACCAAAGAGAACATGACTCTGCAGCAGAAGAGTTTCGGCTCCACCTGCCCCCTCACCGACAAGTTTATCAAGCAGGTACTGATGAAAAACTCTTTTTATCGCTTGTCCTCAGTGTTCCCTGTGCTTACAACTTGTCGTCCATAGGCTACTTCATGCGGCATCGTGGAAAGTGTGATGAACTGGGTGAAATTTAAGGCTCAGACACAACTCAATAAGAAATGTTCTGCCGTCAAACACACAAAAATCAAAGGAGTGCCAAAACTGGACGATGCTAACGATGCAGGTTTGGGTTATTACTTTAGGTTAATTTGTCATCTGCAATTATATCTGGAGTCTTATGGCTGGGGCTTATTCCTTGAAGGTGGGAAGAACTCCTCCGGCTGCACTCTCATCCTCACTGAAGGAGACTCGGCCAAAACTCTGGCTGTGTCCGGTCTGGGGGTCATCGGCAGAGATCGCTATGGCGTCTTCCCGCTTCGAGGAAAGATGCTCAATGTCCGGGAAGCTTCTCACAAACAGGTCTCTGCCATTTTGTCGTTTAGGTCTAAAATGGAATAATCTATGCTCCCACTAACATTGTAGTTTACTGTGCCATAGATCATGGAGAACGCCGAGATCAACAATATCATTAAAATTCTTGGACTCCAGTACAAGAAAAACTACACTGACCCTGATTCACTGAAAAGCTTGCGTTATGGCAAGCTCATGATCATGACAGATCAGGTATCCGCTTCTTTGCCTCGGATCTAATGTGTGGATGATGAATTGAAACACTACATTTTCTGATGCAACAGGATCAAGATGGCTCGCACATCAAAGGCTTACTCATCAACTTCATCCACCACAACTGGCCGTCACTGCTGCGTCACAACTTCATCGAAGAGTTCATCACTCCCATCATCAAGGTAAGCGTCTCTGGGCTCATGTCCAGATGCAGACTTTACAAAGCAACGTCTTTGTAAAGTCTGCCCTCTGGTGGTCTCCTCTCTCTCCTGTCTCTAAAGTCCAACCTTTTTCAGTCAGAGAGCTAGTTTTATCCAAAAGAAGAGGCAGTTACTACTCCTGTGCTACTCCTTTTTGCTATCATAGTAAAAATACTATCTAATTAATAGGAAAAAACATGGAAAACACATGTAAAATATACCATAATACTGTATAACCCAATACTTATACTTATATAGATAGATAGAATAGATATGTAATGACTCAAAATAATCCTTTCACTGAATGAGACTCATTCAAGATCCTTGGTTAAATTCTAAATCCTCTCTAAAGTCTCCTCTCTCTCTCTCTCTCTCTAAAGTCTCCTCTCTCTCTCTAGTCTCATCTCTCTCTAAAGTCTCCTCTCTCTCTAAAGTCTCCTCTCTCTCTCTCTCTCTCTCTCTCTCTCTCTCTAAAGTCTCCTCTCTCTCTCTCTAAAGTCTCCTCTCTCTCTCTCTCTAAAGTCTCCTCTCTCTCTCTCTAAAGTCTCCTCTCTCTCTCTCTCTAAAGTCTCCTCTCTCTCTCTCTCTCTCTCTAAAGTCTCCTCTCTCTCTCTCTAAAGTCTCCTCTCTCTCTCTAAAGTCTCCTCTCTCTCTCTCTAAAGTCTCCTCTCTCTCTCTCTAAGTCTCCTCTCTCTCTCTAAAGTCTCCTCTCTCTCTCTCTAAAGTCTCCTCTCTCTCTCTCTCTCTCTCCTAAAGTCTCCTCTCTCTCTCTCTCTCTAAAGTCTCCTCTCTCTCTAAAGTCTCCTCTCTCTCTCTCAAGTCTCTCTCTCTCTCTCTAAAGTCTCCTCTCTCTCTCTCTCTCTAAAGTCTCCTCTCTCTCTCTCTCTCTCTCTAAAGTCTCCTCTCTCTCTCTCTCTCTAAAGTCTCCTCTCTCTCTCTCTCTCTCTAAAGTCTCCTCTCTCTCTCTCTCTCTAAAAGTCTCCTCTCTCTCTCTCTCTCTCTAAAGTCTCCTCTCTCTCTCTCTCTCTCTAAAGTCTCCTCTCTCTCTCTCTCTCTCTAAAGTCTCCTCTCTCTCTAATACTTCCACTTATTTTTAAAACTGTCCATGTATTTTTCTTCAGGCATCTTTTAAGAAAACTCAGATGTGCTTCTACAGCATTCCTGAATTCGACAAATGGAAAGAAAGCCAGGCGAACAGCAAATCTTGGAAAATCAAATACTACAAAGGTTTGTTGTAAACCCCTGTGTGGTAGTATTCCTCCCAAAGTAAGCAACGTTTCAGACCAAAGCAACAACCACCTGGTCTCGTGTGCGTCCGCCCGCGTTCTAAAATGTGACTTCCTGCTGTAGGTTTGGGTACTAGCACGTCACAGGAGGCCAAGGAATACTTCTCAGATATGCAGAGACATCGCATTCCTTTCAAGTACGCCGGGCCTGAGGATGATGAAGCGATTACACTTGTACGTCCTCTACTACCATTACACATTTAGCATTCATTCAAGTGACAGATGTTAGTGTAGGTTTGATGGACGTCTTGTGTTTTTTGCCAGGCCTTTAGCAAGAAGAAATGTGACGAACGTAAAGAATGGCTCACAAAGTTCATGATCGACAGACGACAGCGCCGCGAGCACAACCTGCCAGAGGTGTCATCGCTTTTTCCTTTGATTTTTCAGAAAGATAAAGAGTTCATGTCGCAATAACTCGTTTGTTTTTCCTCCTCAGGATTATCTTTACGGCCAGGTCACCAAATCCCTCTCCTACAACGACTTTGTCAACAAGGAACTGGTCCTCTTTTCCAACTCTGACAACGAGCGCTCCATCCCCTGCCTGGTCGACGGTAAGCAATGTTACACCAAAAACATTTATCGCTGGAGTTTGTACTGACCTGGACTGTGTTGCTCAGGCCTCAAACCTGGCCAGAGGAAGGTGGTGTTCTGCTGCTTCAAGAGGAACGACAAACGTGAGGTCAAAGTGGCACAGCTGGCTGGTTCAGTGGCTGAGATGTCCGCCTACCATCACGGAGAGGTGACTTTCCAAAAACTTTTCAAATGGCCGAAGGTCGCGTTGGCCGATGAACATGAAAGAGCTTGTTTTATTTATTTATTATTAGGCTTCCCTGATGATGACGATTGTTGGTTTGGCCCAAAACTTTGTGGGCAGCAACAACTTGAATCTCCTGCAGCCTCAGGGTCAGTTTGGTACTCGCCTGCACGGAGGAAAGGACTCTGCCAGCCCTCGATACATTTTCACCATGCTCAGGTACAACACATATCCCCATCCAGACTTTTCATGCTGACGTCGTTGCTGAAGGCGTTATTATTGTTCAAAAGTCCTTTGGCGCGACTCGTTTTCCCACAAATGGACGACAATTTGCTGAAGTACAACTATGACGACAACCAGCGCGTGGAGCCAGAGTGGTACATCCCCATCATCCCCACGGTGCTGGTGAACGGTGCGGAGGGCATCGGCACCGGCTGGGCCAGCAAGATCCCCAACTATGACATCCGAGAGATCATCAGCAACATCCACCGCATGCTCAACGGAGAGGAGCCCCATCGCATGGTACCTACGCTCACTTTACATTACTTCACTTTAAATATACATGAAAGTAAAACTGTTTTTGCTTTACAGCTCCCGAACTACAAAGGCTTCAAAGGCACAATAGAACAAGTCATGGACAACACTTTCTTAAACAGTGGAGAGGTCTCAATTATTGACTCTGAGACCATTGAGATCTCTGAATTGCCAGTGAAGACGTGGACACAGGTTTGTCAGGTCACTTGTACAGGTCTCATTTAAATAAGACACATTCTGAGTAAATGTATGCCTTTTGTTTCAGTCCTACAAGGAGAATGTTCTGGAGCCCATGTTGAACGGGACAGAGAAGGTCCCTCCTCTGATCACAGATTACAAAGAGTACCACACAGACACCACAGTGCGCTTCGTGGTCAAGATGACGGCACAGAAAATGAGTGAGGCGGAGGCTGCAGGACTTCATAAAGTCTTCAAGCTCCAGAACAGCCTCACCTGTAACTCGATGGTAATCTTCATGTTCAGTGTTGAAGATGGTTTTTTACTGAGGGCACATAACAGAACACGTGTGTCCTAGGTGCTCTTCGACCATGTGGGCAGTCTGAAGAAATATGAGTCTGTCGAAGAAATCCTTAAGGATTTCTTTGAGCTCAGGAAGAAGTACTATGTACTTCGGAAAGACTGGATGACTGGAATGCTGGGAGCCGAGAGCTCCAAGCTCACCAATCAGGCCCGCTTCATCCTGGAGAAGATCCAAGGCACACTGGTCATCGGTGAGTGATTACTGTTTAATGTAAAATGTCATGTGATGTAAGATATTTACATAATTTTTCATTTTCCTTTTTCCTTCTAGAAAATAAGCCAAAGAAGGAGCTCATCAGTATGCTTCAGAAGATGGGCTACGACTCTGACCCTGTGAAAGCCTGGAAACAAGCTCAAGAAAAGGTCAGCAGAAAATGTCATGGCTAAAGTCCGATTCTGTAGTTGACTTTGGCTGAAACACTAAAAAGAAGTTTGATTACAGAATGAAGAAGAGATGGAGGAGGGCGGAGAAGACGAGGAGAAAGAAGACTCAACAGGACCAGACTACAACTACCTTCTGTCTATGCCCATGTGGTACCTGACCAAAGAGAAGAAAGACGAGCTGTGCAAACAAAGAGATGCCAAGGTCCGATGCTCACCATGACACATGACCACTTGTTGAGAACATCAGATTAACTGTAGATGTGCTTCAGCTCACAGAGTTAAACACCCTGAAGACCAAGGCTCCTGCTGATCTGTGGAGGGAAGATCTCTCTGCCTTCTCTGAGGAACTAGAGGTAGCTTTTAGCCTTTTTTGGCTAGACATGAGGAAATCTGAATTTTTGATCTTACTCCTTGTCTTTCTTAGCGCCTTGAAGCCAAAGAAAAGGAGCTAGAGTCTGCACCGCCAAAGGGAGCAAAAGGCAAACTCCTGAAAGTGAAAAAGGAGACTCTTCCAACCCCACAAGGTCGACGCGTGGTTCCCAGAGTCACCAGCACCATGAAGGCGGAAGCTCACAAGAAGAGAGGGGCGGGCAAGAAAGTCAAGGTTGGTACTGTACTGTCACGTGACCCTTTAACCCAACAAACAGTTGCTCTAATGGCTGTCTGTCTGTGAAGAGCGAAGACGTCGTGATGAAAATGGAATTTGGGGACGATGGCGAACCCATGGATGTATCCAACGATGGTCCAGCTGTGCCCCCTGCCAAGAAAGCAAGGGCCCCAAAAAAGGTCAAGGCAGAGAACGAGGAGCCGGCGGAGGAGATGGGACTCGCAGCACGTCTCGCCACAAAGAGCAAAGCAAAGGGTCCGTGAGATCAAAGCTCCCGTAGCACAACTTCAGAAGGCTGACTTTTTTTTTTCTTTCGTCTTTCAGCACCTTCCAAATCGGGGAAGCAAACCACCCTCTTGTTCAAACCTGCAGAAAAGAAAGCAAAGAGGAACGAAGGGTCAGAATCAGAGGGAGGATCCGATGATGAGGAGGGGTCTGACGAGCCGGTTGCTCCGAGGGAGAAGGTCGAACGCAAAACGAAAGGTAAATTTGGCTTATTTTTTTTGTCTGAGGTCCAGATTTACTGGACCTCTGTCCAGTCTGTGTGAGTGAATCCCTCCCTCAATGTGGTCTTCCCCGAGGTTTGTCACTTTTCTCCCACTGGGTTTATAGTGTTCCTGGCCAAAGCAGGCGGGTCTGAGGACAGTGGTGATGGTTCAGGACACTCGACTGTTTTGGACTTTCTCAACATTTTTGGACATTGGTCACCCGCCTCTTATACCCATTGACTCTATGGTTTTTATCATTGCATATCTTGTGTTTTAAAGGTACATTAAGTGATGTTGTTTGCTTAGCCGTAGCACAAACTGGAAACCTCCCCCTCACCTCTCCACCCAAACTTTTCTTTGTCACAACAGGGAGAGTTCTAAAGTTCTGTTCAGCCATTTTAGGTTTTACAAAATCCGATAACTCTAGTGTAGTGTTTTTTATGGTCCGCTCCAAAATATTTTGTATTACTTTTTGGAGAAATAGGCATCTGGTCATTTCCATTACTATTTGAAAAACACAATCACTTGACTACTTTTAGTGTTTGATTCTCTGATCTGTGTTGGTGAATCAACAGCTTTGTAAAGTCCTTTTAGATAACTTCAGCAAGACACTTTACCCCCATTGCCTAGAATGAGTCTGGTGTGTGTGTGAATGGTTGGTGGTTGTCAGAGGGGCTGATGGCACAGACTGGTTGCCTCGCTTCTGTCAGTGTGCCCCAGGGCAGCTGTGGGTACAGTAGTAGTTTATCACCACCGTGTATTATTATTATTAATATAACTACTGTTGTAATTTAGGGCTATACAAACACAAATTGAATTGACGTTTTGACATTATGTTTCCATGGCATCCTATCACAGCACATATTTAGACAAGAATCGCATGCAATCTTCTGTAGCCAAATCAGCACCTAGCAACAACTTTTCTTATCCAACAACAAACACAAGAGCAATGTGTGTTTTTGTTTCATAAGCTCCGGTCAAGTACAGCCTGTCCAGCGATGACAGTGGGGATGACTTTGACGACTGGGCAAAGAAACCCAAGACCAGCAGGAAAGTGATCAGCGACGACGACGACAGCTTCGCTCCGGACCAGAGCCTGAACATCAGTGACCCGGACTCTCCCGTCCGCAAACCTCCTGCGTGAGTTCTGCACAAAGTATTCCAACGAAACCATCGCATGAATGTCACTAATATTATGGTTTGATTTTGCAGTAAGAAACCAGCGAAATCCACGACGGAAGACAAATTAAGTTGTACGTATTTTGTGTTAGTTTATTACAACCTTTAAAGGAGACTAATATGCTAAATGGATTTCTTAACCAATGCTGTTCTTTCATATCAAACCTGGAGTTGTTTTTAGCGTCATTCACGCTAATATCAGGAACCAATGGCACAAACGTGCAGCTCCGCCCCCTTCTGTCTAAAAGCTCCTGTCTCAGTCCTGTAGCAGTATGATGTCATTGTAGCACTATGACATCGCGCTTTAGCAATTTCTGGTGAAATTAAGTCCTTGCCGGTCATTTTTGAAATTTGACATTCTGCTCCTCCTTCTGGTGGTAGCTTAGTGAGTTACATGCAGTGTCATCTTTCGTCCTTGATTCACACATCACCAAACACTTTCTACTTATGAATCGAAAACATGAACTCGCAAAGTAAAAGCTGTTAAGATTAATTAAAAAGCTAAAAATGATGCATAATATTTCTCTTGCACTAAATACAGTAGCTTTTAATCATTGTCTCGTATTGTAGCTTCTGACAATCAGGATGCACCCGCAGCGTCCAAACCAGCGGCGAAACCAAAAGCAGCGGCGGCGAAGAAACCTGCAGCAACGAAGAAGACTGCGGCGCCCAAGAAGAAGACTCTCGGAGGTATCTGTCCAAACTGAGTCTAAGAACTGGAGACTTAGACCAGACATACAGATAGACACAGACACACGCACATGCACTGACCCCGGCTCAGAGGAAACAAACAGTCCATTTGACAATAACACACCTTGTTTTTAAAGCATCACAACTACACAATTACGACATAAAACAAAGTCCTCTCACTTTTACCAACATCAATAACATTTCTTACCTTTTGGGGCCATAACAGGGAGACACAAACACACACACACACACGTATCTGGAAAGAGAGCCACACACACATTTATACGAGACAGACACAAACGTATATACAGAGAGACCTACACATGCATATCTGGAGCGAGAGACACATACAGAGAGACAAGATATACAGAGAGAGACACACTCATATCTAGCGACACACACCCATATAGAAAGACGTACATATACAGACAGGTATATACAGACAGGCATACACATAGACGTACACACATACAGACAGACATACACATACTGTATACAGGCAGACATACACAAATACAGGCAGACATACACATACTGTATACAGGCAGACATACACATATACAGGCAATACAATACAATTTATTCTTGTATAGCCCTATGTCACAGCAGAAGTCATCTCAGAGACTTAACAAAACCATTGAAATCACCAACACAGGTCAGAGAATCAACAGTTAAAACACATGAAGAATATAAAGCACACACAGAAGAAAATGTCCATACATGTTGTAGAATGTTAATGTGTCCTGGATCATCACCAATCCTTTCTGTTGGACACTAACTGTCAACAAGGCAGACGTACATACATACACACACTTATCTAGAGAGAGACACACATCAAATTGCATTAGATTTGAACCCTCCTCTTGTGTTCCTTATTGCTGTGACTCTTATGTTGAAATGGTGATTAGCATCGTTTCTGTAAAATTCAATAAAGAAAAAAACCTGTTAGTGCCTCGACCTGTCGCTAAAGTCTGGTTCAAATCTCTCCCTAAAGACACAAAGCAGCCCTCCATCCTGGACGCGCTGTCGAAGCCCAAGCCCAAACCCAAAGCCGTCGACAAGAAAGTTCCCACCTTTGACTCCAGCGACTCTGAGGTTGAGGCTCCCGCTGCGAAGGCGGCCAAACCCGTCCTCAAGCGCAAACAGGCCATCAGCGACGACTCCGGCAGCGAATCGGACAACCTGATGGCCCGCCTCAAGTCCAAAACCACAGCTGGGAGCAAGGTGAGCGCCCCCTATCTGCGGGACATGACCCGTCTATACATCTATACATTTACAGCAGCTTACAAATCCCGCCTCAATTATCCTCTGGGTTGATGGTAACGGGATACTATGGCATGTTGTACTTTATTTTAATGCCTATTGTCTCTGGAAAACAACAGTATAATTCAATCTGTTCTAAAATGTTAATGTCATTTGAAGTTAAAGGTACATAGGAGGATTTTCTACTTCCGGGTGGATCATCAAGACTATTGGTCCTCCCAGTTGTCAATCATTCTGGTGCTCGTCCAATAAGACCAGAGAGTTTTGTTCAAAAAGTGTTGAGGGCGGTTCTAAAATTTGGGAAAAATCCTATATATATTTTTATATATACCTTTTTCAAGTTACGCCAAATGAGAACACATTTTTGTTACAAGAATAATGAAAGTAAATCACGCTCTTACGTTTTTAAAAACCCAGACCAAAATGACGCTCCTGATTCACATTGTCGTATAAACGCGTTTTTTGTTTTTCCCGACAGAAAACGAAGAAATGGGACGAGGAGGATGACAGCTTTAACATTTCTGTAGAAGTGGGAGCTCCAGCGCGAGGAAAATCAAATCGGGCCAAAAAAACCACCAACTACGTCATCGATTCTGATTCAGACGAATGAAGGATTTCAGATGTTTTTTTTACTCCAGACTTGAACTAACTCCTTTTTAGAGAAAATATGGGTTTTGTTTTATGTTAGATGTAGATTTTTGTACTTGTTTGTCGTGTAAATATTTTAATGGTTCTTTTCATACATTGTAATAAAGCCAACTCGGTGTTTTCACATTCTTTGTTTACGTTTCTGTTAAAAAAGTCAACAATAAAGTCCTTAAAGTTGGTCAGATTTTGACGCTAGGAACTAGTGTCATTAACGACAGCAAATCAATGAACAGACTGTTTTTACTCTAGAAATGTACAGCACTAATAATTTTTTCTGGCATCTACTTTTGAACACTAACTACTTCCCACTTTCAGGTGAAACTGAAAATTAGAATATTGAAAAGTTTTCTGTAATTCTACTTTTATTGTGAAACCCTTGTATGATTTAGTTTTAATGATTACGTTTACAGTTCAGTTTCTAAGCACTGTATTTTCTTTTTAGATATTTTTGAGTTTTTTTACAAATCGCAAGCACTTTCTCAATTTGCAAGTAGCGATTTGGTCATAAATTAGTTTGAAGATGAACAATATTCCACTTTTCATGAGTTTAAAAAATTAAAATTTAAAAAAAAAAATGGGAAAAAGTTTGTTCGACGCCACCACGTAATCAGAGTGCTCTGGTTAGTCCCGCCCACTGCTTCCTGATTGGACGCGCTTCGTTTAAATCCTTCACACACACAATCCTCCCCATTGGTCTAACTATTCTCTAGCATTTCTTACTGGTGGTTGTTGCACCAAGGACAAGGACTATATAATAAATGGCTCTAAAAACGTGATGCTACATGGTCAAAATATATGCTTTTTTAATATCATTCTCACCTTTAACACATTTGTCATGTTTTGTGATAATTGTTTGTCAGCATGGGTGTTCCACATGGTTTTCTCAAGCAAAGCTCCAATGAAAATATTTACTGACGACTTTACTCAGTGACACGTCTTTATTCTCTGTAAAAAGTACTTTTCACTTTAACCAAGATTTACTATACTATTAGTTACTAGTAGTATTATAGTATTAGTTACTTTTGTATTCTATGTTGACGTCTTCTGCCATACAGTGCAACGTTCCTGGTAAAATGGTGAAGTCCCCGATGTGACCAGCAGAGGGCAGGCGACATCATCTTAGAACTGTTTCTTTGCTCACACTAAGTCTAGCCCTCACTAATTGACAGTTAAAGGAATAGTTCACCGTTTTTACATACTGACATATGTTCTTACCTTACCTTAGACTAGTTAATACGTACCTGTCTGGTCTTAGTCCGTGCGCTCTGTCATGCAAACGGAGCAAAAACGGGAGCACAACCGCAGCCTCCTCTGTATATTTTGTAGCACCAAAAGGTAGCTCCCGCTAGAAGCTACCAAACTCTTCCAAGTGTTCCCTATTAAATGTATATAGTTACGTGACGTGTTACACTGCAAAGTATAGTAACACAGAAATGTAACAGTCGATTTTCTCAGCGGATAAAACGGGTACTATATTGTGAGGCGTAGTAATCTGAGGGGCGCTACGTCCGCACACTAACTTCTCTCCGGAGACTTCTCTCTCGCTCACTTCCGTCAATAGAAGCAGCGTGACTTGTAATACACACAGTAGCAGCGAGAGAGAAGTCTCCGGAGAGAAGTTAGTGCGCGGACGTAGCGCTCCTAACTTCTCTTTTTTCCACATGACACACGTTGATGAGAATGACGTCTTGTGAATAAAAGCTGCAGTAAGTGTGCCACAGCTCAGAAAGGTTGGGGAACACTGCACATTCATCAGCTAAGTAAAGTGCTCATTAAAGTGCTACCATTTAACTTTTTCGGTCAGACCCATTTCCAATCCAGGCCGAGGCACCTGCACCGACCTGCTTGCTCTCTCTCAGCTGTGGGTGAGAATGACAGCGAGCGACGTCCTGCTCTCTGGCCTCAGATTCTTCCTGTTGTTTGGGGAAACTCTTTGAAAAGTGCATCAGGACTTTGCCGTTCTTGAGTCAACAGTGTCTGGGCTTCTTGATGGGTCCAGATTAGAACATTGCTGGCATTTCCTTGTGTTGCCGCCCTCTCAATTAAAGCAAGGGCAGCCTTCTCAAACACTCATTATTGGAAGAAAAACCGACCCTGCGAGTGGAATCCTCTCTTGAGAATCTACATGGAATATTAAACCAGCCATGTTTGTTCCCTAACCTACCCCTGGACTTTTTGCATCATGGAGAAACCGGCAACTTTTACATCCCATTTTTTGTGACATTCTTAAACCTCGCTCAATCTTTTCCAGGCAAAGTTTTGTCTGTGTTTTATCATTTCTTTGTTGAAGTGAGTCACTATGGGCGAATGGGACTTCCTGGGCTCGCTCTTCGACAGCCTCCAGGCCCACTCTCCTATGCTGGGTCGTTTCTGGCTGCTTCTCATGCTGGTCTTTCGCATCCTGATCCTGGGAACCGTGGCCAGCGACCTGTTTGAAGACGAGCAGGAGGAGTTTGCCTGCAACACCCTGCAACCTGGCTGCAAACAGGTCTGCTACGACATGGCGTTCCCCATCTCCCAGTACAGATTCTGGGTTTTCCACATCGTTCTCATCGCCACACCGTCCTTGCTCTTCCTCATGTACGCCATGCACCATCACAACAAGAGGAGCGGTACATCCACGAGCAGCAGCAGCGACAACAGAGAGGAGGCCAGGATAAGACGGTTTTATTTGGTGAACGTCGCTTTCCGTCTTGCTGCTGAGGTTGGGTTTCTGTTCGGGCAATGGGTGCTGTATGGATTCCGAGTGGAGGCCAGGTTCCCGTGCAGTCGCTTCCCCTGCCCTTACACGGTGGACTGCTTCACGTCGCGCCCGGCTGAAAAGACAGTCTTCTTGTGCTTTTACTTCGTGGTGGGGCTGGTGGCGGCGGTGTCCAGCTGTGCGGAGCTCGTCTACAGCTCCATGAAGTGGTTCTGTGGGCCTGCAAACCCGGGAAAAGAGGACGCAAGTCTGAACGCGCAGGATTTTGCAGAGATGATGATCATGGAGAAGCTTAAAGTGAACCTCCAGGACAGACGGCCACCTCTGAGGAGTCACATCCCCAGAAAGGTCTCTCAGCAAAGCCACAAGACGAAAACACTCACAGTCTAACTTCGCTGCAACGTGGGACATGCTTTACTTCCACTGGAGACTTTTGCAAATGTATTCCAATGGGGTTTTACTGCAAATAGCCAATAAAAAGGAATTTCATATAGAAGAATGACATATCTCTGCCAAGCACATTTGAGTCCACACACAGCAAATGTCTGCTTGTTTAACGTTAAAAATCAGTCGTTGGAGAAGAGGAAGTTTCCCAGATAAGCTTTGATGAGAAGGAGGCACGCGAGACATTGTTAGTTCAGATGAGTCATTATGTCACAGGAACAATCAAGAAGGAAAACGGCTCCAGTTTCAGTCAAAAAAGCCTTGATCTCGAGTCCAGATCGGCCTGGAATGCACAGATACAGAAGCTCTCACGTAAATATTCAATCATCAGGACCCAGAGAAACATGTAGAGGGAGTGCACTAGTGCGTCCACAAATATAAACTAGCAAATGTGTACGTACTCGGCTCTTTGATTGTGCTTGTGATTTTTGTCTATTTTTGTTACGCACAAAGTTGTTTTTATTTTTATCTGTGTTGTCTTTTCCCAAATGACTGGTGTTTTCATTGCAGTTCATTTTAACACGCAATAAAATATGTTATTTATGATACATTTCCAGTTGTTTTTATAATGACTTACTTTAATGCAATACTTAATGTCAAATGTTATTGTAGTTTGCTGTTTTTTTTGTATTATTATGGTTTGATTGAGAAAGTGCTCCACAATCGCACCCACAAACACCACCTCAATCTCCCTGAACTGTTATACATGTTTTTAGAGGTAGAAGAAGTGAGAGCGCCTTACACAGACACGGGGAGAACATGCAAACTCTTCTCTGAAAGGACGGTCCTGAGGTGGATTCAAACTCAGGACCTTCTGTCAGTGACGCACACATGTGGAAAGGATCCGTTATCTTTTGTGTGTTGGGGTTAAACTAACATTACTGTATTAATTACTGTATTAACTGGATTTAAAGTTCCAGATCCAACAAAAAAGACATTTTTGTTTCTTGATTTTAGTTTGTCATAATTATTATTGAATTTGACTTTAGACTACTACAATTATTATTTATAGTTTTAAGATACTTCATAATGTTATTAGAGAAAATTATTTTTATTTCCAGACAACTCTTCTTGATCCAGATAATTTTTATTAATTCACTATTATTATTATTTTTTTTTTTGAGGGATCTTTTCCAGTGAAGAACACAGACTTGAGCGATAATGACGCCGATGCTAAGATAGATGCTGTAGTAACAATGTGGTCAAACAAATATGTTCCTCAGATAATAATGTTTAGCAGTAAAACAGATGTGACAGAGGTCCACAGAATATTCAGCTCAGATCACACTCTTTTGATTTAGTTTTATTTCTCAGTCATTAAGCACGACGCTGCCTGTAGCCACCAGCAGAGGGAGACATTAGACTGAGGAAGATGAGAAACACAATAAGGACTGTTGTAACTTCGTCTATATATTTTATAATAACACAATCTTCTCTGAAAAACATCTGGATCCAATGCACCAAAAGACCACTTTTCGAGATTGGACCCGCGTCAACAGCTGAAAATAATAATAATAATAATAATAATAATGATGATAATGATGATGATAATAATAATAATAATAATAATAATAACAATAATAATGATACTAATAATAATAATAATAATAATAATGATCATAATAATGATAATAATAATAATAATGATAATAACAATAATAATAATAATAATAATAATGATACTAATACTAATACTAATAATAACAATAATAATAATAATAACGATAATAATGATAATAATAATAATAATAATAATAAAAATAATAATGATACTAATAATAATGATGATAATAATAATGATAATAACAATAATAATGATAATAATAATAATAATAATAATAATAATAATAAAAATAATAATGATACTAATAATAATGATGATAATGATACTAATAATAATGATGATAATAATGATAATGATACTGGAGAAAATGAAAAGTGCTCAGTAAAAACAGAAGTGTTGATGTGACTTTCAGATTTCGGTCAAACTCGAAATCAGTGTCAAATATACTCTTTGGTCAGAGTTATATTTTTAATTTTCCACTCTATTGTGTAATGAATCCACCCTTGACTTTTCCACTTCTAACTATACTGATAAATAACGTCAATGTAAATGTGCACTTTATTGATCCCAGTATTTATGGAACTTTGTCCTGTGCATTAGAACCTTGTCCTGATCCGGGCCTCTGTCGGAGCAGTGGACCCACCTCCAGATGTTGAGGCTCGGCTTAGTCAGGACCAGAGCTGGAGGATTTAGAGCAACTTCACTCTCTACAATGTTGAAAATACTCTGGGTTAAAACAATTTGGGCTCTCCAACCTGAAGCTCGGGAGGCACCAGTTGCTCGCCAAACCCCTTTCTGTTAGAAATTAACACATGATCCTGAATGATTTACTTTTGAATCATTACACATATAATATAGGGTAATAATAATATGGTGTTATCCACGTTGTGTACTAATTATTACATAGATCTTTATTTTTGCTGAAAAAAGAAGTAGCTCTCTGCCTCTTCTGTAGAAAGCTCTCCGATTGAAAAAGGTTGGAGACCCCTGCTCTAAAATATGAACACCTTTTCCTTGTTCCTGTGTATGTGAAACTGCCCCCCCCCCCCCCCCCCCCTCCCGTTTGCAGATGACGCAGATCAGATGCGCGGATTTGATGCAAAGCCTTTGAAATAAGCGCAGCTCAATTCAACAGAAGTCTGATGCGGAGTCACACCGGTCTCTCTCTCTCTGTGCGTGTGAACTCTCATTGATTCAGAGGCGTTTGAGGAAATAGAGAAATGTGGGTCACGTCTTGCTTATGCGGGAGATGGAAGCGCAAACAGCGGCAGGGTTTGGAGACACTTCAGGGGGTCCCCGCGCTGTACCTGTGCTCCCTGTCGCGCCACAGAACCTCTCACTGCGGCACTTTTGGGTTATTTCTGGAACACTGGTTGCACACGTAACTTTGAATGCGATAAACAAGTCAATATCCTGGGAAAGCTGCGACGAAGGTCACACACAATAATATCAAACCCAAAGATAGTTATTTACAATTATTTCCTCATCAAATTGGACATGTAAGAGGAATAGTTAAAATACATTAACCACAATAAATAGTCACCAAGAATAATTTACGGAATATTAAAAACAAGATATACACCTACTCCCACTGATGTCTGCTGCCGTTGTGTCCCTGGGCAAGACACTTGACCCCACTTTGCCTGAAGCCCCCGCTGAAACACTGAGTCTGTGCCTTCGCTGACGGAGCGCCATCTATCTGTGGACCCAGGTAGTGACCAGAAATGGACTAATAATGAGAGTATTCACACAGTGGCTGAGTGGATAGCACTCTCGCCTCTCAGCAAGAAGGTCCTGGGTTCGAATCCCAGTTGGAACAGGGTCTTTCTGAGTGGAGTTTGCATGTTCTCCCCGTGCTTGCGTAGGTTTCCTCCGGGTACTCTGGTTTCCCCTACCATTAAAAACATGCTCACTAGGTTAAATCCTCCAGCTCTGGTCCTGACCAAGCCGAGCACCAACATCTGGAGATGGGTTCCCGGGCGCTGTTACTACGGCGACCACTGCTCCTGACGTAAGACTTTGCGGCATCAGGATGGGTCAAATGCAGAGGATGAATTGCCCTACGGGGATTAATAAAGTGCACCTTTACCTGTATCGTTTCCTTACAAACAGGTCGTCATGGGTCGAGTGTCTTTGAACCTGTCGATAGAGAAACTTATGCTGTTTTCCACATTGTTACAAACTCCTGCAAGAGGGAAACACGATAAACAAGTCAACATTCTGGGAATAGCTGCGACGAAGGTCACACACAATAATATAAAATACAAATACAGTTATTGACAATGATTTCTCAATGAATTGAACATGTTAGTAGAATGATAGTTGAACAAAGTATTCATATATTTGTCATACTTAAACAACAGTTCTCTGTAGCGATGCCTCCTACTCACAGCAATGATACTTACACATATTGTTTTGTGCAATTATTTTGAAACTGAGCCGATGCAGAAATCAGTACTGTTCCACTTTGGTATAAATCCATATGAAAGCTGTGAAACTCTGGTCGTGATCTTTCTGCTGTGAACCAACCGTGTAGAAAACGGCCTCTAGGACTTCTCTGGTGGCTTCTCAGATCCACAATGACGACAATTATAACTCGCTCAGCCATCAGTGTTTGTTGTGTTAGTCTAATGAAAAGTATGAGAAGTTACATGAATGGCATGTTGTAGACCACAATCACATTCAGAGACGCACAAGGACACAGCGGAGGCAACACTCTCTCTGAGGGTCCTCACAAATGGACACATGGGTAACCTTGGGTGTGTATGTATTTTGAGTGTGTATATGTGTCTTTGTGTTTTGTGTGTGGGTTTGTGGGAAGATGTATTTAAAACTGAGCACTGAGAATAATATAACAATCCATGGTTTGAACAAAAGCATTTAAAGTGGACATATCGTGTTTTCAAATAATTAATTTTTACATCTAAATCATTAATTTGTGGCCTATATAAAGCGTAACTGCAATGCCTGGGTCTGAGTCTCATTATTTGTAGCTCCACGGGCCTTTCTTTTACACCTGTTCTGAGGTGCGTCTGAGAGCAACCTGTTTTGGTGCTGTCTCTTTAAATGCAAATGAGGCGCTTTTGACCACGCCCCCATCCAGGTGACACAGGTTCAACTCCACCCCGAGCGGCCATTTTTGTAGTTTCTAAGCACAGATACAATTATCTCATAGAAACTTCTCATTACATCGCAAACATGAAGCAGGCCTTCCTCATTGACTGAAAGCAAATGTTAATTTTCATTCTTAGTCCAGTCTTATTATCGACTCTTCCCTTTTTAGCTTTGGGATCCATGCGCACAGTCAAGGCAAGGAAAGGAAAGTTATTTATATAGCACAATTCATACACAAGGCAATTCAAAGTGCTGAACAAAATATGAA